TGGAAAGTAATAAATAATGGGGTCCTCCAAGGATCTGTACTGAGGCCAGTGCTGTTCAACATATTCATAAATGATCTGAGAAAAGGGGTAAATAGTGAGGTGGCAAAATTTGCAGACAATAAAAAATTATTCAAGTTAGTTAAGTCCAAAGCTGACTGAACAGTTCCAAAGGGATCTCACTGGACTAAACTGGGTGACTGGGCAACAAAATGGCAGATGAAATTCAATGTTGATAAATTTAAAGTAATGCACATTGGAAAACATAACCCCCACTATACAATGGGGTCTAAATTAGCTGTTACCACTCAAGAAAGAGATTTTGGAGTCATCACGCATAGTTCTCTGAAAACATCCACTCAATGTGCAGCAACAGTCAAGGAAGCTAATAGAATGTTGGAAACCATTATGAAAGAGATAGATTAGAAGACAGAAAATATTATCATGCCACTATCTAAATCCAGGGTCTGCCCACACCTTGAATACTGCATGTAGTTCTGGTCACCCTATCTCAAAAAAGATATATTAGAAATGGAAGAAGTATAGCAAAGGGCAACAAAAATTATTAGGGGAATGGAACAGTTTCCATATGAGGAGAGATTAAAAAGTCTAGGACCGATGAGCTTGGAAAAGAGACAAGGAAGGGGAGAAATGATAAAGGTCTATAAAATTATGACTGGTGTGGAGAAAGTAAATACAAAAGTGTTCTTTACCTCTTCACAAGAATCAGGGGTTACCCAATGAAATTAATACACAGCAGGTTTAAAACAAACAAAAGGAAATACTTCATGCAACACACACACAACCTGTGGAACCTGTTGCCAAGGGATGTTGTGCAGACCAAAAGTATAACTGGGTTTAAAAATATATATATATTAAATAAGTTTCTGGTGGTCGGATAGGTCCATCAATGGCTATTAGCTAAAATGGTCAGAGACCTAATCCCATACTCTGGGTGTCCCTAAACCTCTGGCTGCCAGAAGTTGGGAGTGTACGACAAGGGATGGATCACTCCATAATTTCCCTGTTCTGTTCATTCCTTCTGAAGCACCTGGCTGGCACTGGCCGCTGTCAGAAGAAATGATGCTGGGCTAGAGGGATCAGGTCTGACTCAGTATGGCCATTTATATGTTCTTCGGGTAGTTCCAGTGGGAGCGACCAGTTCATATCAAGGGGGAGCCCACCACCCCATCAAGGTTTGCAGCAGGACCCACACAGTCTTTACTATTTAACATTTATAGTGGGGTAGTGGCAAAAAACCTCCCTCAGGTGGCAGCCCATTGTGCTGGCCCTGTACAAGCTTATGATCGATGTCCGCTCTTGCCCCAAAGAGCTCATGTTCCCAGGTTTGGGTCCTCACCAGCCTGCTAGGTAGGACTTTCACATTTTCATATTGTCCAGTAGATGGCAGCAGAGCTCAGCAGATGTCTAGCTGCTGTTTAGAATTCTGTTGGGGAAACCCCTATTCCGGAGAAATTTTTTACCGGGTCCCGGATTGTCTGGGACACAGGTGCTGGAACTGGGAGTGCTGGGGAAGCTGCCGCACCCCCTGGCTTGAAGTGGTTTCCATCCAACACAGGGTTTACAGTTTGGTTCAATAGCTCTCAGCGCCCCCACTATACAAATTGTTCCAGTCCCCCTGGTCTGGACCATTGTTCGGATCATTCTGTCCATAAACGTCCGATTGGCTTGAGAGACGTGTATGATATTACAGGAACATGGCCCTACAGTGCGAAGCACATGCAGGTGAACGGTGCCGTCTTTAGAGCTGTCGTCCCAAGGTCTAGTTCAGTAAAGTCTGATCGAACCGCCTCGGATAACGGATATTCTGATAGTCCTTGTCCAAAAAGAAAAATCTTTGGGGCAGATTCTCCACTGCCTCTGCCCCCGCCCCCAGGTCACTGGAGCTGGCAAGTCTAACCTTTCACCACGTACCAGTAGATTGTGCAGACCTTGTTCACACGGACGTCAGTAGGTCGGCTCCCAAGAGTCAGGGTTGCAGGATCAGGCCCTTTGTCAGGGCTGGGCTACTCTCGTAAAAGCTCACTTAGGGCATTTAAAATGGCTGTTGCTCAAATTGCCATATCCCTGTTCTGTATAATCCCGTTAGTATAACACCGGCAGTGTGTATGGAGCACACAGAGGTGAAAAAGGCACGACTCCTATGCTGAGGAGTGTACGATCTAGACGTTAGACATGGAACATAGGGACAGCCAGGGCAGGGCTTTTCAACCTTTTTTTTTAATTATTATTATTTTTTATTTTTAAATTTGCAGACCCCTAACATTTTTGAATGGCGGTGTAGACTCATCTGGAAATCTTAGCATGGTCTCCTGCCCCCCCGGCATCCGTCGGCCACAGGTTATAAACCTCTGGGCTAGGGGAAGCTGGTGGGAGTAAAACAAATACAAATATCAGAATGTCTATGATTGGACGTATATGGTTTTTAATTAGCATGCGTTTAGACACAAGCAGAGGAGCACAAGTAGATGCTGAGTGCAGACTACTGCTGTGGGATGTGGGTAAATACATATAGCTTTGTCCTGTGACAAAGCTCCCCACCTAAGACTTCTGTTGTGGTCAGACTTTCTAGGGGGAGAAAAAAGAGACCGAGAAGAGCAGCTATTGGAATAGCCATCACAGAGTCATAGACTTTAAGGCCACCAGCTCACGCAGTTTGACCCCCTGTATGCCACAGGCTGCTAACACCGCCCAGCATCAAAGCCAAATGCATCCACATAACCCAGACTGTGTGACTCTCAGTCCCTGTTCCCAGCGGTGAGGTCAGAGGGGTATCACCTCTCTGGGTTTCCTACCCCCGAGAAGTGGCTGTGCTAACAGGAGTGGATGCTATAGTTCTGAGGGGGTGTACTCTTCCCTCCCACCCATCTCTCACCCGGGGCTGGAAGGGAATGTGAAGAGGGGGCATTTCTTGGGGTGACCTGGCTGGTTGAATTTAAGCTTTCACTTGAAGTATGGTGACTCTGATCCTGGGAGCTGGGCTGGTGTCTTTCATTGCCATCAGGGCCGGCTCTAGGATTTTTGCCGCCCCAAGCAAAAACAATTTTGTCCGCCCCCGTTCTTTTCTTACCCGACCCCTGGCCCCGCCTCAACTCCGCCCCTTCCCCAAATCCCCAGCCCTGCCTCCTCCCCCCAGGCTCTCAAGCCTAGGAGGGAGGGAGGGAGAGGGAGAAGCAGCGCGTGC